AATTCTTGAAGAAACTGTGTTTTTGTGTGTGTGTGTGTGTGTGTGTGTGTGTGTGTGTGTGTGTGTGTGTGTGTTGTTATCCACCAGCTCGTCTAATTTAAGTGGTTGAGTTAACCAGAGGAAGTTGTGTGTTTGTGTGCTCGATTTGATTCCAATAACCCATATTTCATAAGTGCATTGTGGGTTTTCAAACTCACCAATTGCATTGTTTCCTGTGGGACTTGAGCACAACTTTCCAGTGAAGTTTAGATGATTTCTTCTTAATGTCCATCATTTTTTTCCATTTTATTTGTTTTGCTCGTAAATTATCATCTTGGCTTTTAGTCTTCACTCATGTTTGCAAGTCAGTTTATTGCGTTGTCTGCAGGAACATACCATGCTGAAACACACTCAGCAGAATAAGTATTGGGGTTGCACAATATGTTAGCAATTGATCATTAGAGGAATGCCAGTATTGTATTGTAAAAGATGGACACAAATTGTATGGCATTAATACGTATATTTAGCCTTCTGATGAACATTTCAAATGCACAACTCTTTTGAATGATGGTGGCCGAAATGCTAACGCACACAGTGTTGAGCATTGTGATGACAAAAAGAGGAGTGGGGAAAATGCGGCTTTATCACAACCAATAGTGTCAATGCAGTATTTTAGAAGTTGTATGTTTAATTTATCTAAAGAAATAATTGAGGTAATATTCCTCAAGTAGTGTGTAGTTTAATATTTGACTGTGTTTTATTTGTTTTTCTGTTTGTTGTTTTGTTTGTTTTTTCCCTTCTCAGACATTAGTATCAGTGTTTTTTCTTACTCTCATTTAATGTTGCAAAAAAAAAAAAAACGTTTTTAATTCCGGGTAGCCCAAATAAGTATCAGGTTTTAATGTTGGCCTCTAAAAACTTACAGTAAACACAACTGAGTGGAGTGATAATAACCTATGACGGCAATGTACTTCTGAATACACCCGACAGTACAAAGTATCACTGATGCATGAAATTTTCAGTTTCGTGGGTTAAACATGAGTAATTATCAGGCTCGTCAACATCTGATTAATTTGTTTTTAAAATTGCTCAATTACAAAAGTGGCCCAGTCCTTTAGAGRCCATTGGAACTAGATTTTGTTGTCCGTGTCCTTTATCACATGTCCAAGAATCTCAAAGCAGGAGAAGTATTGACAACTCTTCTGAACAACTCAGGAAGTTATATTTGCGTTTGTTGCACAGCTGAAAACCATTGCCGTGTTGTATGTTTATTATTATGTTCTTGTGGTCTTGTGCAGTTCAAATTGAAATTTAGAATAATCATGTCAGAAATATTTATAAAGGTTGATCTTTGCAGTCAGTATCAGCCGTGTTTATCAGACAGATGAAAGCTGTGGGAACTTTGTCAAGGCCATGACTAAACAAAGTCCACCTCAGCTCCTAGCAAACCTTTAACAAACACATGGCTGAGCAGAATAACTATAGATGTCACGTGGGTCAGATTGAAATTCAGACGGGTTAATGGTGTAACAACAGGAAATGGAGACTTTTAAGTAGTGTTAATAAATTGCCATTGATTTGGTTTATACTCATATATAATTACGGTAGAAATGTGCAATTTTAAAGCTGCTTGTTTTTCACCTTCAGAGTAGATTTAACATTCCCTTTAGTCACACAATGAAACTCAGAACAAAAGCATACCAACAGGTTCAACTACTCCAGAAAAAGTGAAGTTTATTACCTCCGCCAAGGGAGGAGGTAATGTTTTCGGTCGCGTATTTCTGTCTCTGTCTATGGACAAAGTTACTCAAAAACTTATGGACAGATTTTCATGAATTTTTCACCACAACTGGGTATTGGCCAAAGCAACGCACCATTGAATTTTGGTGATGATCCGGATCACGATCCGGACCCAGGAACAGCCAATCGGCTTCAAGGAAGCTGACCGTAGACTTCCAGTCACATCGGATCATTCATAGACGGGTCAACCCACCCCACACCACCCGAGTGTAGACATCCAATGGGATTGCCTGAAGCGTTGTAGAAGACCAATCACGAAGGCCCATGGAAATAAACCTTTGGACCGAATTGTTTTTAAATTGAAAAGCTTAATGTTTGAAGTTACTTTAATGTAACAGATCATTTTCATAATAMATCGGCCTGCGCGTCCTAACAATTTTGTTTTTTGTGTTTACGTTTTTGGAGTTTTTTCCTCCCACCTGTATCAGAAAGGTAAGCTAGCTAACTCACCACCCCCGCATTCAGGTCTGTTATCCAATAGATAACGCTAAGGTTTTCTTAAACAATTATGTTTATTCTGGTTTTTTTATGGCTAAATGTTTTCCTTTTTCTGATGCTATTCCACTCCTGTTGCATGTAATTTATTACGTATTTAGTTTTTGTAAAGCACTTGTACACAAACATACATGACTAAAAATGTAATAAATCACACACAAAACAAACACACACACTCACACACAAACATACGGCTTTGGCGGAGATTTGCGCTCTCCGAGTGCGTCTAGTTTTTTTTTTTTTTACTGTTTCCCATTATTTAATTGAAAAGGCTCAATATAATTAAATGTGACACAAATGACATTGTATGTTATTCAGTAAAACTAACAGTGGTCAGTGGTGTGATAATATTTACATGGCTTTCTCTATTTAGTGAATTGGTTGGATTTGTTTTTTCCTGTTCCAGTTTAAGGCAATAAAGAAGAGCACCATTGTTGAGCACCAAATCTATAATTCTAATCTAAAAGCCTCTCTTTTAATCCAA